CTCTCTCTCTCTCTCTCCCTCTTACTCTATATCTCTCTCTTCTCTCTCCGACAGGTCATAGCGAACGCGAAGCCCGAGATAATGCAGTAAGCGCTGGACAATTTCTAATTCCGGACAGCTCCAACTGACAGCCCGCCTGCCAATCCAAAATTGTTTCCAGCAGAAACAACAAAATTCGCGATCCTCCAAAACGCCTCCGTATGGCTCAAGCCCGTATGCGAGAAGTCTGTTTGAAGGCGCAGACAGGTCACGAATCATTCGCATCAAACCAATACGCACCTCATTTCGAGCGTCTTACCTATGGTAGTGATGACCACGATGGAGTAGAAGAGCGCCCCGGCAAAAGTCCACTGCTGCTGCTCGCGATCCTCGCTGCCGTCCCACCCCTTGGTCTTCATAGCCTCGATCAGCTTGACTTCAAACTCCTTCAGCCGTTCGCCGACCATGTGCGTCCAGTTCTTCTCGCGCAGCACCTCCAGCTCCTGCGTCAGCGACCAAATCGACGACGTGACATTCTTACGGATCTGCGACACATTCTTCTTCACCTCCAGCTCGTTGTTAGACTCCAGTGCCTCGAACGCGAACGCGCCGATGATGCAGTATCCGACCACCAGCGAGACGAGTCCAATGTGTGAGACCAAAAACACAAGAATGTTCTTTGTATAGTAGCCGCACGTAGACCACTTGGAACCCATACCGCGACCGGACGTGGAGGCGGGCATGGCGTCACTCTCGCGGCCGGCCAGCGGAAGCTGTCTCGTCACAGGTGCCGCGTGCCCGGCTGCCGCGCAGCCATTGACGCCGGACAGCAGTCAGTCAGCGGAGCCCGATCACACCAGCCACCAGCGTCCACACGCAGCGCGCCGCCGCTCGCATGTTGTGTCTCGCACCGAAACCGTATCCCTGTTCAACCCGCAGAAAACCATCGCCTTTGCCAAGAGCAAACAGGCCCAAAAATACCCTGTCTCTCGCTCGCGCGGCGGCGGGCGCGCGTCGGCGCCGACTTGGAGGCGCGCCGCGTCGGCCGGCGGCGGCACCGTCGGCCGCCGTCTCACCCGCCGAGCTATTTTCGGAAACGGTGTCGACGTCGTGACCACTTAGCACCTGGTGTGGCGGCACCGCGCGTCACTGCCCTCAGCCGGGACGGACGCTGGCAGACCTCTGTCCAGCGCCGGCCCACACGTGCGCCGGCGTCCTCTGTCCAGGCTCTTGCGTACCCGCCGGATCTCTATATCAGCCGAGGCACATCATCAGCCCTCCACCGCTATGACTCTACAGGGTCCCACTTAAGTTGCGGTCACCCTGACTATCTACCTGACCCCAGAAAATTTTCAGTCCTTGCCGATGCGCCACCAGGCTCTACACCGCTCAGACACGGTGTGAACAGACCATCTGTTCGGTCGGCTCGCGCGCGACAGACGATGTCTTCCGGCCGGCCAGTCATCCTATCGGCGCCTTCTAGAGACAACGATCTCAGTCCGTCACGTGCGCTGCTGGCTGACGCTCAACGCCTGCCTTGGCCAAACTCGACCGCGACTTCCGTGTTGCCGCGGCGGAGTGGGCGGATCCTGCTCTTCAACCTGACTGGACGCCCCTGGCTTCCATTCCCGTCTCTGAAGTCACGCAGCTCACATCTGTTTGGAGGTTACCTTCTTCCAGCTGGCTCAGGCGTTCTGGCTTCATGTCGTCCTTGTTCGTGGCCCAGGAATGGCTTTGGTGAGATGTTTCAAATCTGTGCGCCGTGTCTCGTCTTGAGCCGGCGCCTAAGTAGTCACTGCCTGACCTTTCTCTATTGTAGATCAGAGCAATCTGGCTGGCCTCTACATCGACGCCAATGCCGCAGAAACATCAGCACAATTTCTCCCTTTCATGGTGGCCGTGTCAGCGCCCTATATTGTTTCCTCAGGCTGCCGGCTTTAGTGCAGCACTGACCTCTGCTGCACGCCAGCGTGGCTCCACCTGAGGGGCGCCGCACTGACCTCTTGTCAGACGGTTCTGTGTATTCCGCGTCGGCTTTATGCTATCGCTTTTCCTACATGGGCGCTATATGCTATCCCAGACTCTAATTGGTTTGATGTCTGGAAACTTAAGGAAATCTCGGCAGCACATATCTCCCATATTGTCGCAGTGCTCGGCGGATGACACATTATGCCCGGCGCCTCTGAGTCGGCCGGCAGGCCCGGCTGTACCTGACGACCCGCGCAGCGGCCTGGACGACCAGGCGCCTCGACGCCACCTCCATGTCGGAGCACGTGCGCTAGCCGGCGCCGCACCGAGGCCGAATCAGGTCTGGGCTGCACAACCGTCACATCAGTGTGTGTGCGACAGTGGCTGCCAGTCATGACACACATATGCATACCCCCTCCGAGCCTTGCGACGCTTTTAGCCAACAACAAAGCGGATCTGAACGAAACGAGCTGCGCGCAGGCCACCGTGCGCCGGAACGCATGACGTCCTGATAAGTTGAGGTTATCGGCAAACAAAGATAGCCAAACAGAACGGCGGAATCCGCATACATGCATTGAGCTTCCGCAGTCGGGATGAGCACCAGTGTACGTAAGTGACCTACAGCCGTGTGACAAACGAGGGCGACGGCAGCGGACGTCCCGGACACGCCCGGCGGATGGCCGTGACCGCTGCGACACACGGGGCGCGGCGGCAGATCGGTCGCCAGCAGGTCCATCACGGCAAACAGGGCAAAAGGCATGGCTAAGCAGGGAACTACATGCGGCATTATGCCGACATTTGCTACGCTGGCGCAGCCTGTCTCTAACCACCTGTTGGACCCGCAAGGATGCCCTTATTCTCTTGCGTAAACTGGTCAAAGGACCCAGTTCCCGTAAGTATTTAAAGGAAGGCCCATCCTTTCCATCCACCACCACACCTCCCTTTCCCTGCCCTCCCCCCTCCCCCCCCCCCCCCGGCGCTGCCCCACTCCCGGCGCTAGTGAACACTATATTTTCCTTCGCCAGTCGTTCATTCGCCCTGATAGACGTCAAATGGCCCAAAACAAGGATGTGGTGGCCACCACAAGCCGGAGCGCAGGAAATCTCCTACCAGGATGGACATAAACCAAGATAAGCAAGCTTAGTATAATGTTTAGCTGTGTTAGATGAGCAAACATTAGTACGGCCCGTACAAACAGCTTCTTTTGATGACGCGCGTCATGTGCATGGTGATGCTGGAAACGTTCTCCGCAACAGATGGAGCCGACAGTTATTTCCGGGTTCTACATTGTAATGTTCTCATCCTTCATTCCGGTGGCCTGGTTTTTGTCCGAGCTGGCGGCGCGCCAAGATGTCATTTGCATTTGCTGGCGGCCGGTGCGGGTGCGGCCAGGAGTCGGCCGCTGCCTGCCCAGGTCACCGCCGCCAGATGCCCCGACATTAATTGCTCTGGAATTCGAATAAGGACGGCCGGTCGGCGCGTCGGCGCGTCGGCGCGCCGGCCGGCCGGGCGTCGGCGGCGGCGGCGGCGGCGCTGTGGGCGCAGGCCAGCTGGGCTGCGTCGGCCTGCGTACCGCCCGGCCGCCCGGCCCGCCAGCGGCGCCGCTGCCAGCGACATCTAGTCGGAGCGCCGGCGTCGCGGCGACGCCACTATTTATAGGCGCGCTGGCAGGATTTTTAAGAGCTGCTGTAGTGGACAAGAAAAGCGAGTACAACCGAAAGCAAGGCTCGCTGTGTGCAGTGCGGCACGTGCCCAAGCTGGGAGGACTCGCTGCAGGTGAGCGGCCGCCGCTGAGCGGCTGTGGGCGTGCGTCAGGCGACCACGCCACCAAACTCCGCTCATTCCCCCTCCCAGTTTGCTTACCGTGGCGCACTGTTTGTGTAGAAAAACCGCTGTTGATACCCGACTGACACAGTGCGAACACGATGTTAGTTATGGTGAGCCGGTAACATCTTCTGCCCGTCCGTCTGCTTAGCATCTCGAACGGCCTTGTTGAAATGCCTGTATGACAAATTTTTGGTGTCCGTCACACACATCAATGTGCCGCCCATGGCCACCTTTTGGGGAGCGGGATACTCCTTTACCTTATGATTGAGGACACTTCCGATTGCTCACGGATTTGCACGAGGACACTTTATTGAGGACGCCGGCTGGCCACGAAGCCTGTCATATCCGGGGTTACGGCCGTGGGGGCACCCGCGTCTGATCACGGGGTTGTGGAGTGGCCAAACTGGCTTAGTGTTTCCAAGTCTAGGAGCAAAACGGAGGCAGTGCAGTTGTGTGTGACGTCGTAACCGTACAGTAAGCTTGGCTTTACTGGGACGCTGGTGTCATGACTCATAATGAGTGACTGACACCGGTATTTGATACACGCGTCCGCTGTGTCACATGGGCACTGTAATGAAATTTTATCGCGCACAAAATTCTGTGAATCCATGGGCTCACGATTGCCGGAGTATGTACACATGTAGGTAACGTCTGCTGGTACCGGGGATATCCCAAGGGGCTGCCCGGCCGGCAGGGCGGCGACTGCGCATTATGTTCTGATCCATTGCTCTTGATCGGACTGTAGACTGACAGGTGGCGGCTGGACCATTGATTAGATGATGGTGATTGCTGTGGCATGTACCAGCAATCTGACTTACCTTGGCAGTTAAGCTGAATAGAGCACTTGAAGGCAGCACGGTTAGTTTACACCACGCAGCTGGTTTTTTTTATCTGCTCCGGCTGCTTAAGTCTGGCATTGGCTTAAAATGAACACAAAAAAGCTTACATCCGGGAAGCTAATGGATTTCGCTCAAATGTGCATGATGTGCTGCACATATTGCTGCAAATTCGTGCAACGTAATGGTCCACCTTATTGCTTCTTTTTGTTGCGTTTTTATGCGCAATTCTGCCTTTCTGATGTTGATCGCATGGGCTGCGACGTTGCATGACACGATTGAACCAGCTACCCGGACGCGACCAGCTGAAAAAGCGTGCAAGGATGAATCTTAGCAAACCTTTAGACGTTCAAAACTAAGCAGCTGAATTGTTCATGTCTTTGATTAATGTCGTCATTTGGCGTCACACAGAAATACCAGCCAATGGTGATAAGGAAAGATATGAAAATTATCGGGACGCTCATATGTTTGAAACCTCAACAAAGACGCACCAAGTGATAACTACCAGTATCCGCCCGCATTTAGTCGCTGGCGCGTATTTGCAAACAGCAAAGTGTCTTAACGCAAGGCTGGCTACGATTTTAGACAGGATTCTTTCGTCACGAAACTATGCGAAGAGCGAGCAATCCCTCGCAAGCTCGGCGCCATTTCATTGTGCTTATGTATTCTGAGTTCAGGCACTGGATAAGGTATGCTAACAGTAGGCGTTTTTTTAATGAAATTTTCGAAGAAATGATATTCTTTAAACGCGTGGGAAATGTTTTGTCATGTTTGGTTTGTATTTGTTCACGCAAAACTCAACCCAATACTGGACAGTGTTATTCGCGGAGTCGGTGGTCCGGCAGTGGCCGCACAGTGCACCGCGGCAGTGCCGTTCGACTGCACGTACGTCTCGGACGCGCCGGTGGAGGCCCCGAAGGCTGAGCTCCAGGCGAACACATGAGAAGCCTGGTCGACTGAGGCCTTGGGCTGAGAACTAGCCAAGGGAGCTCCATCAGCCGGCCAGTGATGCTGCCGCCGAGCTCGCTCAGCCGGAGCCGAGAGTGAGCGTCTCACGCACAATTGCTCCATGTTGTTGCAAGCCACATTATCAAGGTTTGGCTTGTACCCGCTTTACGATCACTTAAAGCCGCTGGGGGTACACCTCACCGGCGAAGGACTTATTTGGGCCGAACCAAAGTGCCAGCTCGCTTGACCAACCATGTGCTTCGTGGGGCGGCATGGATACCACTCCGACCTCTCTCTAGGCATTTGCCACGTAGTGCAAGCGGAGAGAGGTGTCGAGGTATGCTATTGCGTCCAGTAAGAAGCGCTTCCCGCTTTTTAGACAGAGCTCAGCAAACTTAGGCACACACGCGGCCAGCTATTCAGGCGAAGGAGATGGCTCATCAACGTTGACCTGAGGTCGCTCTCCATCCGCCTTCACCAGGAGCCGGTCTATCAGTCACGTAAGGCTATCCAGCTCGGTGCATGCTGTGGTGACAACCGATGGAGGTTTCGAGTCTTCCGGTCCGCGACAGATACTCGCCGTATTGCACCAGATTCCATAATTATCTGGTTGAAAAATTTTAGTTTTAATTTTTTCCCGCGGGGGCGGTGCGTAAGCACTCTCTGTGGCCCGACTGCGAACTCTGCTATTTGTCGTGCCTTTTTCCACGTCGCGCCTGTTTGCCTCAGACTTAACATTTTTCGCTTTCTGCAACACGTGTTCAAATTTTGCAAATTTTCACATGATTTGCATGCAACCTGTACCTTAGCGAATATCTAAAAAAATATGTTGCTGTGAAAATGTTCTGGGAAACAAGAAGATTCTTACAAATGAAAAAGAAATATCAAAAAGTCACTCATAATGTGTGAAAAAATGTCTATGCCAGATTAACTTCCTTCAGCGCCCAAGTAAGAGTAGTAGTCATGTTTAGCGCCGAAGTAAGTTGACCCCAACACAACTTTCGATGGATTGTGTTTATAATGGCTGAAAACGGCACAATTTTTATCCTGCTAATATCAGCGTTGGTAAACACATGAGCACTCACTCTATCAACATGTAGACACTTTCCAAGACCCCCTCCACTTAGTATATCGCTTAAAAAGCTACGGAGAGTCGATTTGGTGGTTATTTTTATGCAGAGGGTAAGCAAACAGCCGAAAATACTCTCAATCCAAACTTGTCGGCTGCTGACCAATGCATCCTAATATGCGCGATACTTGCTAACTTTTGGTAATCTGTTCGCGAAAAGTGGGCGAATTTTGGGCATCGTGTGACAAACTGGGGCCAAAATAAACTTTCACGTTGTTGTTTGATATTCCGGCTTTCGTTTTTTTTTTTAGAGGGGTTTTGTGCCTTCCAAGGCACAAGGGAGGATTAGAGCAGCCTCAGAATGGGCTGAAACAAGCAGGATTTCTTGCAACAACAAAAAAACACTGCAGTTATCCTCAGAGTTATTCATTGCTCTGGCACTTCAGTGGGACCGGTGTGGGCCGAAAGATGTCGCACCCCCTGCCCGAAAGAAGCTGGCAAAATACCGAGCGCCGGCGGAAGCTAGCAAGTCCTTCAGCAAGCTTTTGGCGGTGAATTCCGGATCACGGATCCCCCGGGATCAGTTATCATGGTTCTAATCCCAAGATACGCTGATGGGTCTGCTCCCATGTCTGCTGCGGGCCGAGAGAGCTGGTTCGAGAAGCGAGAGGGAGAGAGAGATAGAGTGGAGGACGATGGTGGACCTCGACTGGCTGGCACAGAGAGACCTAGCCTCAGTCCACAGGTCGGGCTATTAGCCGGCCAGGCTGGCAGGGTGGTCGGTCTGGTGAGCCAGCGCGGAATGTGGTCAGACGCGGCGGTCCGGCCGGGCCGCGGCGCGGCTCTGGCGCAGCGCTGCAGCGGCCGCCGACGGGAGGCCGTCACCTCGCTGATGGCTGCGGCGGTGGCGGCCAGCAGCCCCCACCGGACTCATATGTGGGCATGCATGTGGTGACCCACCCCATCACGTGGTCAAGTATTGCATTGCTAGGGACTCTATGGAAAGATGTCCCATGCTGATGAGCGAAAGCCAGGAAGACGGGGGGATGAGTATTAAGATTGAAATGATCAAATGAAAATAATTTTGACACGAGAAATACCGCCAGAGATGTGTAAGCAAAGTAGCAATGCTCAATTTACGACACTGACAGGATACATATTCAGACTATCTAGACGGATAACCGGCAGGCAAAATGGAAAATGGTAATATGCAAACATTTTCGACAGTGTGGATTTCTACTGAGTGCAATGTTAGAAAATGTTTACACAATGAAATCTTGACATAATAAATGATGAAACAGAGGAGAACACAAAGTTGTCAATGTTAGTATCACAACATACCAAGAAGATAAAAAAGCCGTTCAATGTAATTGATAAAAAAAACAGACACTGTCATCCACCATCGCTTTAATTCAGCAAACCTTGACTGAAAACATTGCGCGATGAAAGGTAAGGACATGCGTACTCATAGTCTCAGATGAACTCAGATGTCGTTGGCGCTACAAGGCATGAATATTTCAAGGTTTTTATCGTCACGACGGATTTAAAGGCCCATAAATTTGCTGTTAATACGATTATATTGACAGTGTTAGCACAATTTGACACTTGTTCCTTGTCAAATGTAAACGTGCAAAAAGCGATGCCTGATGTTCATTTTGCTGGCTTGTACCATGCTCACGCGTGCGCTTCAAGCCATACACGTAGTTATGTGGTGTGACACCGATCTGATCGCTGATCTGCCGAGGTCAGGGTTGAAATTTATCTGGAAAGCGCATCAAGGTTCAAGTTGACTGCGTTGGTAGGTTCGACGGCACATGGAGTGAGGATGATTGATGTACAAATCAGATGATCATGACAGTATGCTGAAAGTCATGATTATACACTCAGGGGCACATATGACATTGTGTTCCGAACGGCACGACTCAAAATCTCCGCTGAGATGCAGCCTAGTATTTCACGGGTGCACAAATTCTCTCACACCAGCATGGGAGATGACATATCATGTGACAGTTTTTTAGCTTTGTATATTGGTGTTTGGGTTTTTATTTACCTCTCCATCTTTGGTGGGCCAGAGTTCTCTGACCGGTCTGCAGCTT